TAGCATTGTTTAGACGGTCTGATTAAATTTCTTAATTTATCAAATTTTCGATAACAACAAAAAGACGAAATTACTAAAAATAAATCATATTTATGTGCGAAATCAAAAGTAAACAGAGCTTGATTAATTTGTATTTGTTTTCGTTTTTTTCGTTTGGCAACACTGGCTGCCTGCCGAGCTCGCTTGTTGTTTTTATCGATAACAGCGGCAAAGTACCAATTACAAAAATGAAAATAGAAGCCAACTTCAGTACAACAACACAATTTACCCCATTATTAGACCAAAAATAACAAAAATCAACAAAGCAAAACAAAACCAAGCAAAACAAACAAAAAACTAAATCAAAAACTAGAGTTACCAAGAAATGGCGCTGCATTGCAGGGCGGCTCCCCTTAACCCACTTTCACAAAGGGCAATTGTCGAAGTCGTCACGAACTGAGTGTCAGCAGAGCAGCTCATGTGCATTTGCATGCTCAGAGTGTACAGTGGGCACTCGCTAAAGCGGCGCGCAATTCGATAAATAAATACATTTATAGATATATCACAGAGGCGGGCATCGATAAATGTTGCATAATGGCTTCAGTTATTAGCGATAAGATTGTCTGTAATCGATAGTTTGTTTACGAAGTGCTGTCGATTCTATACATAAACTGTTGTCAACTTGCAGTAATCATGTGTTATCGATAACAGCAATATTAAAGATCTATGAGCTGTTATCGATAAATATGTTATATATGCAACTTGGACTCATGTCTATCACTATCGATAGGTATGTCATTGATAAAGCTGTTCTAAAAGATAAATAATTGTTATCGATAAAAAGCTACTTCTGTTATTGATAAATTATCCATGACATGAATCGATAACGACGATTAATATATTATGTATCAATTTGAAATGACACATATCGATATACATGCTATCGATAGACTTGTTATTCCTTGAGTTCCACAATACAAAATCAATGATCAGATAATACAAAGTTTACTGAAAAAAGGGTATCTATTAGCCGTGCATACCTCGATAAAGGCTTCGTCTTATACCTAGAGATAGATGTTTTGTAATATTCGAGCGTTCTGCATACTCAACCAGGTCCGTGTGCTCACCGTAGCAAGTTCTTCAAGTGCTCGCTACAAATTTGTAGCATACTTTTGCGGGCAGCTGGCAGCCAATTGGCAGCCGAGTGTCCAGTCGCTGGAGTCAATTGTTGCCGCTCCAAGGCAACAGCGACGGACAGATTGGGGGATAGGGCGGCGGTGGGCTTGGGGCGACGTGGGGTCGGGTAGGGTCAAGTTAACTGCAGCTGAGGCCGCAGCACTTGGACTAAGCCAGCCAAGAAGTTTTGTGAGTTGCCAAAACAAGGCCAACTTGTGACGCAAACAACAACAGCAAGCTTGAAGAAGAAGGGCAATAATATGAAATAAATTCCAATAGAGGCTGCCAGCAGGGTGGGGCCAGAGGTTGGCTACGAAGTGGGTTTTAAGGGGTAACGCTACAAATCCGTACAAATTGAATAAGAACTCAATCTTGGCTACTGTCAAAACAACTTTTCTCTGGCTGGGCTCGGGGTCGATTGGGGTAGTCCTGGCAACCGGACACCGCAGCACGAGGCGGAAAGATAAAAAAAAAAAGAGAGAAGATGAGAGGAGGCACAAGAAAAAAAAACAAACAAACACAGACAGAATGAGCAAAGGGAAGGGAGTGAGAGTGAGAGAGAGAGAGAGAGGGCAAGGGGAGCGGGGAACAGCTATATATTGAATGGAATTGAATTGAAATGGTCGGGCAATTGTTTGTGTATCATTATAGTCATCATCAATGTGCTCATCGACTCGCCAGCTGTCGCCGACCCGATGCATATATCTCTCCATCATATAGATATGGCTATAGCTATATAAATATATATTATCAATTGCTAACTCTATCTGTGTGTGTGTGTGTGTGTGTGTGTGTGTGTGTTTGTTATTTTTATGGCTGGGCAGCATGGCTTTTAAAGCCCAATACGCTGTTAGCGTCGTTTTGAGTTTTAAGTAAGCATTTTGACGGCAGACTCCTGGTCTAATTACAGGATATCTTATGGTCCATCCATTCTCAGTTAACTCTTAAAGCTAGCGACGTCTTTATATTCCAAATTTAAAAATTTAAAGCTATGTTTTCTTTAACTTAAGATTATTTTACAGGGTATGCTTTAGTTGAGCTCCGTTAGACAAACCATTTTATATTCGATATCTTGAGCTTTCTTCAACTTTTCATACTTTTAATGATTTCTATTTTAATTGAATGCAAATCTCAGCTCCCCCCATTGCTCCCTCCGCTGGTCCCACTGCAATCGTAGGGTATGTGTCTAGTCGTGCCACAGCACCTTCCCTCAAATATGTCAGCGAGCAAACATTGGGCATGAGAGGACATCTTCAGATACACGCAATGTCCATTGAATTCCAATTAACAACGTTTAGCAAAATGATTGATTGACTCTACGGCTCGAGCAAAATGCAAAGCCCAACCCAAAATTCAAGTATATATATATATATATATATACACATATGTGTGTGCGAGTGTTTATGTGTGTGAGTGTCTTAACAGCTTTAAGATAATCTATACATAATTTGCTCATATCCATACAAATCGTGAATGCTGCAATCGAATTAATTTGTAAATTAACTTTTCTAGTGTTGGAAAATTTCAGTAAACAGTGTTGACTAGAAACAAATATACATACATATTTATACTTGTTTATGTATATTAATTATATATTATGCCTTTTTTGAGATTTCAGATCACTGCAAACTGCCTTTTACAACACTGCAGTGCTGCATTAAAACTGCCAATAGTTATCGATAAATGCAAAAGTGTGACGATTGCAAATGTGAACTTTAACTTTCCCTAAAAACACTCTTAGCCACTGTATGAGTTTGTGTGTGTGTGTGTGTGTGTGTGCGTGTGTGTGTGTGTGTGTATGTGTGTGTTTTTGTGTGTGTGTGTGTGTGTGTGTGTTGTCATGTTATGTCAGGCGATCAATTGGTCTCGCTCTGGCCACGCCTACCACCAGCCGCCCCCCTCTCGCGCGGCTGTCGTCAGGGGCGGCAGCACTATTAATTATCATGTTAAAATGTAATTAATTAAAGATGTCGTCAACGCAGCCGTTGAAGCCGGCGCCCGCAACATAACTTTCAATGAAAAGTTAATAAATTACATAATTCCGTAAACGAAATTACAAACGCCATCAACGCTGACAACAACAACAACAACAACAACAAAAATGCCACCTGATAACAAATCAAACGAACATTTTTGTGCCGCCTATCGACAGGCGTCGCGACGTCGACGTCGACGTCGGCATCAGCATCGGCATTGTCACGGACGCTGATGTTGACAAGGCGCTCGCACAGTGGTACAATGTATTAGTTAGTCAGAAAGTGCTAATAATAATAAATGTTAATAAATTGATGTATTTGCTAAAAAACAAGTCTCTAGTATTTTAAATAGTTTGTTTTTAGATACGGGACAAAGGGTCTGAGGTGTCCAAAATCTGTAAATTGCGAATTCTTTCATTCTTTCTTCAATACATATATCTACGCCAAAAATTTGTGAAATTCTAGCTATAGTATTCAAATTACACTAAAAATGAATTCAAATTATCGATTATTATCGATCTAATGTCAATTTATCGAAAAAAATGTATGTAGTGGTACTGCACATGGTATACAGATGCATACATGTTAAGTTTATGTCTCTAGCTGTTGAGAGTTACGAGATATCTGTGTACATACGGAGGAGCAATGGACGAACAGATAGATGATGGTTAGACGGAGAAACGGATGGACGTACAGAGAAGGTAATTTGGACTAAGCTTTTCAATCTGAACACATGCACTGAATACATGCACTTTATGCGGTCTTAAGAAAGTCATAAAACCCCGAACCCATTGGAAATGGGTTATCATAAACATATGCAATGGATAATATGCAATATGCAACGGATAAATTAATATATAAGGCGATAATTCGAGCTCTTGATGAATCTTAGGCTACAAATAGACTTACCATAACTGAAACCTCTATTATCAGACGACATACAAATGGATACAAGTTTTTGTTTTTGTTTTTTTTTTTACTGTACAGATCTCAATTTTATTTTCCAATCATTAAAACGTTATAAGACATATATATATGTATATAGATGGATGTCATGATATACTATATATAGGAGGACGGTAAATTTGTACCTAAATATGTATCTACAAATCGATGCATACCTATTTTGTACATATATATATAGTTGTAGTATATATGTTAATATATATAGATATATATATGGGTATACATATATATGTGTATATATAAAGGTATCCAAAGATGTTGACTATGAATGTGAATAAATGTTTACTTGCATTTGATCCATTATATAGAATATATATCTATATATAAATAGCTGCTAGAATTGTGGATAAAGTGTGTCATGTCCAGTTTTGTTCTTCTTTCTGTGTAGATTCGCTTTGTGTGCTATTATGGGTTAAATCTGATATTATGGTTATTCAGTAGCTAATTCTTTCAATTGTTATCCGGTTTGTGTAAAATTCTGGTGGGTTTTGCAGTATTTGATAAAAAGTTTTTAAGTGTTCCTAAGTGTGTAGTTCTCTTCTTTCGTGGGTTCGGTTCAGTATTTATTGGTGTCTATGCAGTCTCTTGTTAAGTTTGTCCTGTTTTCTTTTCTCTTTCCTTGGCCTAGAAAGCGAAATTTAATCATTTTCTGTTTTACTCTGTTACGTTACTGTATCTTCTCTCTTTTTTTTCGTGTAAGCGATCAATCCGTGATATTCGTATAGGTATTTTCCAGTATTTCAATTTTGAGTGAGTCAGTACAGTTTTTTCTTGTCAAAAATATAAAGAATGTATATATGGGTTTGTGATTTGCAGCCTGTCGTTTCCTCGGAGATGTTTGTGTTTACTATTTTTGAATTTGTTTACCTAATGACGTGTTCCATTTGTCCATTAGCTGTTCTCTTTTTTTTGTGCTTTTCTGTATTGTATTTTGTAGTTTTTTAGTGTTAAAATCGGGCCTTGCGATAGTCATCTATATACCATCTTTAATGCGTTCGGTTGTCTTCTTTTCTTATCGCTTAAGGGTTCTCTCTTTTTCGTTATCGTTTTCAGGGTTGCAGGACTGGTCAATATGCTCCGAATATGGAGCTTACCAAAGTCCCGACGAATAACCGCCGGGCGGAACTCGACTATTCGTATTGGATGGCATCGGCTGACTATGTGGCTGTATAAAGTCAGTTGCGCCCGGCTTGTAACCCTCACCGGTAACTGGATTACCCTCTATTATCGAGCGCCATGCAAATAGATGAGAGTAATATATATATATTAGATAATGAGTGATGGGAAGATGGAAGTCAGGGAAAGAGTTTAAATGGTAGATCTTTTTCGTGCTAGACTTCCATACTAGATCTATATAACTCCCGGTAAGATGACAGGTTGGGGAAAAATGAATTGGCGGGAATGGTGAAATTATTTCCCATACTAGATCTAAATATCTCCTACATCTCAACATCTACATGCTCTAAATGTTTCCCATATATAAGCTAAATGCATGATGGTAATATGAAATGCTAGCGAAGAAGTTTGTTTTCCATACTAGATCTGTTTTAAAAGTGTTTCATATACCAGATCAGATTACCAGAGAAATTTGTATCTAAATTAAACTAAATTGAAATATGTCAAATGTATAACCTAAATATTTGCCTAACCATGATGAAAATTTTGGGCAAAGTTCATACAAGCTGTGCATTGTGTGGACTCTCGGTAAACTCTCGCACATCTGTATTCTATGATCAAAAGATATATATGTGTTTTCAGCAAACATACCTCGGTTCTTGACCTTCCTGGGCTTTAGACCACCCACGCCATCGCCATTCAGACCAGAGCCTGTAATCGGATTGCGCGAATAAAAGTTATCCTTGTTGTCGATCTTGACACACGATGGAGGTGACTGCTCCACATAGTCCCCGCAAACACCCATCGGCTCCTTCAGATCGGGCTCCGGGCCCATATTGTCCAGCGAGTACGGACGTTCGGGATTTGTGCTCGAGTCGCGACGACTTTGTGTGTAGACATCGTGTTTGTCGGACTCGACGAACTTAGCGTTGTCGGCCGGCACTGACTTAACAGCGTGGTCAGTGCATGGCCGGTCGACGTTCAACGTATCGGCCGGACGTTGCGCCTCATCGCTGGGCACGGGGGTAACAGGGCAAGCCTGATCCCGCTCGAAGGCCTGTGGTTCGCGAGCATCGGGAGCCTTATCTAATGTTAAGACTCAAATAGGTACAATTCGATCACCTTTCATCTGCACAGATACTTACTGCTCATGTTGGATAACTTTTATTTGCACACGGTAAACACTAAATATTTTCACCAAAAAAAGGAATATTCCAAACTTTTCAAAGAATTTGAATTTACAATCTGACCCGATTCACTTTTACAAAATATATAAATATATTATTTTGATTTTTTTTTACGATTTTTAGTTTTTGGTTGTGTTCAGCTCAATAACTGGACTAGGACTGACGAATATATGAATATGGGGCTGGTGCCTTGAAAAATCCGACGAATTTCAAAGCGCCGCCTACTGATAAATACACAAAAATTTTCCGATGTTAAAGTGCTTGTCAAATTTTCGGACAACCGGTTAAAGTTTGACAAGTAACGCAAAGCATTTGAGAGTAGAAAATTTAAGAAACACATATAATGAATTAAAACTAATATATATAAAACGTAAATATTCGTAATGTTTTGTTCTTTTTCAAAAAGAAATTTTTGTATAAACTTAAGTTAATACATAGAATGAAATTTGAAGCGTTTGCTCCACTGTGCACGCAGCTCAATTGATGCGACCGTTTGTATGTGTGTGTGGGTGTGTATGTGTGTGCTTTGTCATGACCCGCATAATCCGCATGTAAAACAAATTAATAAATAAATAATAAATAATAAATGTGCGTAATAATAATGACTAAAGAAATATCAGAAACAATAAATTTTATTTGAGTAGTCGCCAAAACCGCCGACAACAAATGCCAAAAACAAAGGCAACAATTATTAATGAGAGAGGGAGCGAGAGTGAGAGAGAGATGGGCGCTTTGCAAGTAGCAAGTGAAGGAAGAAGGGTAGGGGGTGAGGAGCAGTGCCAGCAGTCGGGGGCGTCTGTCTCTTGTCATAAACGTTTATAAATTTGTTGTCTGCGCGTAAATAAAATTCGCAACAATATTAAAACTGATGCAAAGGCGTAACAGAGCGATTGGGCGGCGGGTGAAAAAGCGGGCTCTTTAAAATAATTTATCGCATGCAATATTCACGCACGCACTCACACACACGCGCCGGCTTTTGCTGTTGTGCCGCTGCTTTAGAGACGCTCGCACGTTTTCACACACATTTGTAAGCAAGTCAGGCAATCGCTTGCCCAATTAAATGCGTTGAAGCACACACGCACACATACACTCTCCCTCCTCACTCACACTCTCGCTCATAACTGTTATCTCAAAAGCTAATTCTCCAAAGTCAAAACACTCGCATTTTCGCTCATAACAGTTAAATAAACAGAGACAAAACCTTGCTCACTCACACGCTTGCTGCAGCCGCGCCTCTCTGCATGCAATCGTGTCATTTAAATACATACATATATGATACACACACAGCAACAACGAGAGGAAAGAAACCAAGAGCAATAACAGGCAAAATTAAGGCACAGTGGGCGCAGTGCTTTAACATACACACATATAGCATACTTATATGTGCTTATGCAAATAAACCAAGCAAGAGAGAAAAGAGAGACAGAGTGAGAGAGAGATAATTTAATTAACTTTATTATACGTTCTTCAATCAGTCTATCGCCTTCAACGTTCACGCTTCAGTAAAGCTTTCGCGCACCCAACTCAACTGCAAAAAGATCAGAGCGCATACTTTGCATAAGCGCAAATGTCTGATCCCACCACCACCACCACAATGCAAGCAACGGTACACCGCGCTGCGCTACAGTCGGCATGCCGCGGGCATCAGGAACTTCAATTGCAGCTGTCGCTTTGTCGCTGCTGCTGCTGTTGCTGCAGCTGCAGCTGTCGCTTTTGTCGCAACGTCTCGCACTCTTGCTTCAGTTTAGCTGGCAGCTGACTGCGCTGCTTTTGTAAAATCATTTGACATGTCAACGTCGCGCAGTCGAACGTCGATCCCCTTCGCATGCCAGCACAGAAAAAAGCGAATCAGATGCGCTCGCTCACTCTAACACATACTATATAGCGACCAAACCACATAATGGTTGAGGTGTAAGCGAGAGCATTGCCCGTTTATCAAAACGGCGCCCGCATGTGTTGCTGCTGCTGCTGTTGTTGTTGYTGTTGTTGCGGTTGCCGTTATTCTTGCCCTTCCTTCTTCTAGTTATTCTCAGTTAAAGTCGTGCAAGAAAAAGCGCAAATCAGCCACAATTGCCTCTGACAGACGCAAGCTCTTTTTGCCTTTGTGCGCCAGTGTGTGTGCATTTGTGTGTGACTGCATGTGTATGTATGTGAGTGTTCAATACTTTGTAGCTATGACAGCGTGCGAGTGTGTGTGGCTTTGACATTATTTGTGCTGCGAGCTGACAGATTTTCGTTACGGCAGCATTAAATTGAATTTTGACATTTCTTTGCATATGCGAAATAGACACACATGCACACACACACGCACACACACACATGCACTGCCATTTACACATATACGCGTGTATTTTGTCACATTTAAGCTGAGCCACTGGCAAAAAGCTCTCTCTATCTCTCCATCTCTCACACTCTCTCGTTATATCCCTTGACCAACTCGCTTTATGAGTTTTAGTTTGCACTCGAGACATCAATTGGCAAACTGACTAATGAAATAACAAATTATGATTGATTCGATTAATTAAAGCTCAACAAGCTTGTATCCATTGCATCTTTAAGCTACAATATCCAAGTTTCAAATTCAATTTGAGCCTAAGCAAAATGCAGAAGAGGCAAAAATATTTTGCTTTAGTGAGCAAAATTTCAATTTTTGTTGATTAAAGAGAAAACTAATTTATGTGGGTGAGTGTGTGGGTTAGTGTTTGTGTGTATGGGTGTGTGTTTGATTAACGCCGGATCGAACAGAGTCTAACTCTGATGCCCACTGGTCATCTGGTCAGATGGAATGACCTGCCCCGCTCCGGCCCGCCTCTATTTCAATGCTGAGCACCTTGAAAATTAATTTCTCACGTTTCACGTACAATTTGTATGACCGGAAGCGTTTTCAAGCCTGAGCCGTGCCTCTCTCTCTCTCTCCCCCACTCTCTCTCACTTCATCTCTCTTGCCCTGTCTCGCTTTGGTCGGCCGCAATCCTTAGCCAATACGGCTAAGTTCCTGTCTCCTCTTCCTCATATCTCCACAACTAGCTATTCGCTAATGAAGGTTTCATATTGCTGCATCTGCTGCCCTTGTTATACCCTGTACTTGCAGCTAACCGCAGGTGGGTGTGATGTTTGATTTTGCAAACTAATATGTTTCTTGTAGCAAAACTTCTAATACATTTGACAATTAGAGGGTATTCGGTATTTTGTGATTTAAGCATTGGAAAACATTTTAAGTTGAGTTTACGTAAAACGCCTACTTGACTTTATTTTCATCTGGTTGTACTGCATATTTCCAATACAGGGTGTTTGATGGCCCATTTATTATGCATTGCGATACATTTGAAGCATATACCCCTTTGTTGTTCTCTCAGTTTTATTGCCTCTTACCAAAATAAGTACATACATATATAAATACCTCTATGATTTTGCATATATGTAGGGTATCTGCTTGTATATCACTAATGCAGTATGGCTAGAATACTTTTTTAATATAGACTAGATTGTTTGCTTTTACTCTTCATATCACTTATAGGATATCTTCTAGTCAATAATTTCATTCTCACTTTTTATACCCTGAACCCATTGAAAATGGGAAATCAGGGTATAATGGTTTTGTGAAAAAGTATGTAACGGGCAGAAGGAGGCGTGGCAGACCCCACAAAGTATATATATTCTTGATCAGCGTGACGAGCTGAGTCGATATAGCCCTGTCCGTCTGTCCGTCCGTCCGTCCGTCCGTCCGTCCGTCCGTCCGTCCGTCCGTCCGTCCGTCCGTCCGTCCGTCCGTCCGTCCGTCCATCCGTCCGTCCGTCCGTCCGTCCGTCCGTCCATCCGTCCGTCCGTCCGTCCGTCCGTATGAGTGCGTCGATCTCAGAAGTTATAAGAGCTAGAGAGCTNCGCAGCCCAAGCGCAGTCGCTGCTTACTGCGCAGTTAGCAGAGCGCAGGCTTATGCGTGCGTGTGGATGCATGTGTATGTATGTGTGCATAAAAGAAGTGCGGAATGATTAGAGTATCAGCTTAGAGGGTTCAGGGTATYTCCTAGTCGAGCAGTCTCGACTGGAGCCTTCTTACTTGTTTTTTTTTATATTTTGTACAGCTTTTGGTTTACAGAGCATCTGTTAGCACATCAACACAACACTTGCATTCAGTTGGCCAGCTTCTTGTTGCTCTTGGCCATAGCACGTAGCCAATGAGTCCAATTCCGCATTCGGCTGCTGCCTGACCAAAGAGGCCACGCACCCAGATGCAATTGGCTAGATATGTGCGTGTGTGTGTGTATGTGTATGTGTGTGTGTAAGCACAAATACTCTTGCATGCATTGCAGTGTATTGGACAAAGCGTGTAAAGTGATATATGATACCCAACTATCAGGCCAACATGAAGGCGGGTATGCCAAGCTAAGCCCATAGATATGATCTCTTAGGAGATTATTCAAATAGATATTTCTATATATATACACATATAAATATTTCAGTGTATATGCCCAGTAACTATAGTTTCATTAGCAACATTGGCAAGACAAACGAAAGTTGTCATTATGAGAAGCGCATATAAAGGCGTTTGCATACAGTAAACGAGTTTTGAAATATATACAATAGCTATGTAATATATAATATAATTATACATAATAGATATTGCAGATAAATAACTGTTGTTGTTTTTGCTTTACAGGGTATCGCCTGGTCGTTCTGTTTGGCAGCTCGTCAGAAAGCATTCCCAACTTATTATTGTTGCGGTTTGTGCTGTGCTTCTGTTTAGTTATTACACATATTAGCTTGTGGCCAGCTTTGGCTTTGTTTGCCACAGACCAGAGACCACCTTTGTCAGTGAGAGAGAGAGAGAGGGGGAGAGAGGGAGACAGAGCGAGAGTTGTCATGCGTGTGCTTGAATTGCAGAGGATTATGGGTCTTAATTTTATGATTGCTTCTTTAATCAGAGCAACTAACTGCACGCCAATTATATCCAGACCGTGCTAATTGTTTCTCTCTCTCGCTCACTTGCTCACTCGCTCACTCACTCACGCACTCACTCGCTCTTGCTTGCTCGCTCACTCTCTTAGCAGCTAATCGATGTGCGTTATTTGCGATTAGCCGAACGAGCCAAATGAGCCACGTAGTCATAGAGCAATCGAGGGTGTGGGAATTTCTTATGTCTTGGCAATCATTTGTCTTGCTAAGAGAAAGGAGAGAGAAAGAACCTCGTACCACCCAGAACTGCCAGGGACCCAACCACGCCCACCCAGCCAGCCCCCCCTTTGTTTTGTCGGTTTTGTCGGTTTTCGCTCCGGAGCATAATGAATGCGTGCTTAGCCATAATAAAATGTAGCGGCATTTTCCAACAAGCCACAAAAACAAGGCACAAACACACACAAACACACGCACACACAGACACAGACACAGGGGTATACCTGCATACACTAAGCGAAAATAATTAGTCGAGATTGAAGCGTCAATTCGTTTGGATTGAAGAAGTTATTGACAACGTGCGAAAGGGGGGAGAGAGGGGGAGAGAGAGGGAGAGAGAGGGGGAGAAAGAGGGAGAGAGAGCGAGAGAGAAAGAGAGAGATAGATAGAGACAGAGAGAGAAAAAGATGGAGACAGACAAGGTGAAAGAGAGAGAAAGATGAGAGAGAGAGAGAGAGAGAGAGAGTCAGAGAAAGTGAAAGAAATTGACATTTATGTATGTATTATATAGGGAAAAGGCGAAGCCTATCGGCAAGCCGTGTTCATATCTTCCATCAATAAGCCTCTCTCATTCTCCCCCTTCGCACTTTATCTGTCTCCGTGCATATTTGAAGATAACATCAAATACACATAAGAAGCATTACCTCTGTTTGGCTGGTATTTACTGAACAGAAATATCTCTGTCTCTCAACTTTAATTCAGTGCTTTTCTCATTTTGTCTTTATCTGTTTATGTTCACCCGAAATATCTCTCACTCTACCTCTCACACTTTCTCTCTCTCTCTCTCTCTCTCTCTCTCTCTCTTACTCTCACTCCTTTCACTTTAATAATTGGTTTACTTAAACCTCTTTTTTCTCAGTGTAGCTCGCTGCATTCAAGGCTCATTCATAGGCCACCCGCAAGCTACTGCAGTTGCTGTTGCTGTTGCTGCTGTTGCTGTTGCTGCTTGTTGCCAGCAATGCAATAAAACATTTCACAATGCGAGACATCTCTGCGGACATCATGCGGCAATTGGGTTTGCAGTGCAACATGTGGCGCTCGGTTGGGATCGCACAACAGCAAAAAAAACTGAAGCAAAAATGCAACAAAAATCCAGAAATCCTATTCTCAAATCTCTCGCTCGCACTCTCACACCCTCTCTTTCTCACTCTCGCTCACTCTTTCTCTCTCTGTTGTCTAGTCATGCTTGAAAAACATGTAAATAAATAATGCGACAAACACTTTAACCAACTAAAACAACAAACAACAACAACCAGAAATACCCTGTAAATAATATATAGAAATGGCTTAGAATAAATTTAATTTAATTTGTTTCGTAAAGTATTTTCAGTTCCTCTTTGAACCATTTCAATTTGTTCACATCATCTAATTTGCAACATAAAAATTTATTTGCGATAAGGTTATGTTACTTGAATTAAGCCAACAATGAGATAAAGCTCTAGAATTTCAGTGAAATGACGTTAACTAACCAAGCTAACTTATTTGTGTTTTATAATAATCCCAAAATATATGCTTACTTTATTTTTGTGAGGTTCGGTTAGCATTTCTGTCCCAAAATCGAGAGTTAGGTTAATGTAACTATAATTAAATTGGTAATAATGATGGCTTGAGCATGTTTCAGTCGACTCATTTTAGGTTTTCTAGCGTCAATTTTAGGTTTGATTATAAAAAGTGAGGTTAGAGCACATAGCATTCACCTAAAATTAGCTTTAGCCTGCCTCGGAAATTTTTTGCAATTAAAACTTGAATGTAACGGTCTTCTTCTTCTATTTTAGATTTCGGTTTCTGTTTTTGTTTCAGGTGGAATTTTTTATATTTTAATTTAGATTTTTCTGCGTATGAAATTTTTTATCATAACTCATCAAAGTAGTTACCAATGACAACGCTTTGGCCCTTTATTTTTCCGTGCCTCCCACTCCACGCCGTTGCGGTGAACGATGGGCGGAGGGCGGGCTGTGTGGGGGCGTGGTCAGTCGCGTGGCTTAAGGGTCGAGTCAGTGGATATTTGGCTTATCGCTGGAATGAATAAAGAAAACTTGAAAGCCTTTTAGCCCAGATATGCATATACACAGCACTCTCTCGCTCTCTCTCTCTTCATCTCTTTCACTTTCTCTATATCTCTGGCTATCTATATATACACTCAAGTGCAAGAAAAAGGCAGTCATTAAGTTTATTAAGTGCCCAAATGCAGATAAACTAAATGAGTGCATGCCAAATGGCGAGGGCGAAGGCGGCTGTGGCCAAGGCAAAGGCAATTTACGCAGGCAATGCAAGTTATCAAGTATCTTTGGACCCCCTCTGGCCCGGCAAGCGTTGCGCCTATGGAAAAGTTTCAAAGTAAACGAACAAGAGTGAAGAAGAGATAACAAACAATGTGCGGCTAACGGTGGTCGGGCAAATTACCGTTGCAAGCTGCAAAAACTTCATGGCGGACTGCAAAGATTAGCGCTATCAGTTAGCAAGAGAGGGAGAGAGAGAGAGAGAGATAGAGAGACAACGTAACAGAGCGAGAGAGACGTTAGCTTAAGAGCGCGACTGAGGAGTGGATGAGAGATAAAGCGAATGAGCGCGCTTTGACCGCATTAAACACAGTTTCAAGTGTTCACTTTACGCATGCTATATTCATATATACTAACACATATACATTTATATTTAAATATAAGCGTACATATTCTTATCTGTGCAACCGCAGTAGCTGGGGGGAAACAATAACAAATAATTATATTGTTATACAGAAAAAGTGTGTTTTATAACTGATAAGCAAGCAGCAGGGTTATTCACACACTGCGCACTAAAATTAAAATTAAAAAAAATTAGAGCAACAAAGTTAATAAACCAAACATTTTAATTATTCATCGATTTTCAAATTCAAATTCAAATTTTAATTCAAATTGTTAACAGACGAATGCTAATTGCTATGCACAAATTAGCATACAATGTACTCAGACAAAAGCCAACTGCTGTAGTCAACATTTATCGGTTAAAGGCGCAGCTGTCACCAAATTGAGTGCTATGAAACCACTTGGTATGGCAGTTGCATTTTTTTTTGCTGTTTTTTTGTTCTTCTCTTTTATGTTCAGTACGCTGCGCACAGCTGTTGAAATGTGCGTTTCATATGAACAGCAGCAGAAATAGGGTTTACCCCATTTATCAGCTGTGTGCGTTAGTTGCGTACTTGCCTGGCTGGTCGACTATTTAGCCGCGCACTGCGCCAATTCGCAAAGCACTCAACATTCTGTTGCCGACAGCGACGCGGGCGTCGTGCCAGTGCGTGTTGTAGCTTTTTCTTTCGTTTTGTTGTTCCTATTCGCTTGTAAATAGAGCTACTTACTGTGTGTGTGTGGCTGAGACTATATTCCATTTATTTTTTGTTTGTTTTGTTTTCGCTTTCATTTGTTACTTGAAATTAGCCACACCTAACGCGATGTCACAGAATTGCAGCCCACAACAGTTAATTCAGTTCGTCAATTGCCGCTTGGTGCGAAATCATCAGCTGATCGTTGACGATCTGTGGGTGCGAGATGGCAAAATCATCAATCCGGAGCCAGTTTTCTACGATGAGCGGGCGACGGCGAACCAGCGCATCGACTGTGGCGGTGCGATCATCGCGCCCGGCTACATCGATTTGCAAATCAATGGTAAACAAGAGTGAAACAATTACAGCACAAGCAGCTGATTTTTCGCTTTTAATACACTGTCAAGGTCACATAACTTGCGTATATTAATCTAATCGCCGATTTGCCCCACTGTGCTGTAAGCACTAAAAAACTCGACAGTAATCAGAAAGACGAGAGGATGCATGAATAGCGATAATGGCCGAATTGCAAATCAACGGTAAACAACAAAACGAACTGTGTAAGCGCAAGTGAACGAGTGTTAGAGCAGTATAGCTAGCAAGCAAAGTTATGCATGCTGAGCCCGTTATGCACTCATTGCGCTTCTTGAAGAGTGTTAGAGCAGTGCATAGTTAGATTTTGCATGGCACATATTTAAGTGTTAGAGCAGCACAGATAGCTGCAATACATTAACCATTCACATACATGATCAACCTCTCTCCCTCTTTGTCCCGCAGGTGGCTATGGGGTTGACTTCTCCTACGACAAGGACACCATTGAGGCGGGCGTGCGCAAGGTAGCCGTCGGTCTGGTGGGCAGCGGCGTTACCTCATTCTGCCCCACACTCGTGACCTCTCCCAATGACAGCTATCATACGATATTACCGCGTATGCCGCGACGCATCGAAGGCGGCGCCGGCATTTTGGGCGTCCATGCCGAAGGACCCTTCATCAATCCACATAAGAAAGGCGCCCATCCAGCCAACTGCATTCAAACTATTGACAATGTGAGTGAATGTCCCACACATATGGGGCGAATTCTAGGAACGAAATTAACCAAAGAAACAGCAGAGCTAATTAACGGTTAAGTACGAGAGCCAGCAGCCAATCAAAATTAGGTACTCATAGTATATTCAGCAGTGCTATGGACCAATGTGCATATAGGGTACATTAGTTTTGTTAAACTATTTGAAAAATTTAAAGATCTTATCAAAAATACAATATAATTATTGGTATAATTTTTCGAAAGAGTTGCCTAATTTTATCAGATTGAAAAATCTCCTTTCCTTCTAATTAGCTAAATTTCTCTGCCTTCTTTGCTTTGTTTAAGCTTCTTTCTTCAAAGCTTATTGAAGATTCGCTCCCCCCTTTTCGCACTTCTTCCCAATACATACTACATAAACTTATCTCATCTATTCTCTCTCGTCGCTTTTTTCAGGGCATGGAGACGCTACGTTCGACGTACGGCGAGCTAGACCGCATTAAGATAATAACGCTGGCACCTGAGCAGGTGAGCGATGCGAACGTTATCGATGAGCTGGTGAGGGCGGGCATTACCGTCTCGCTGGGCCACTCGATGGCCAGCCTCAGCGATGGCGAGCGAGCCGTTCGCCATGGAGCCACTCTCATTACGCACCTGTTCAATGCGATGCTGCCCTTTCATCATCGTGATCCGGGCCTGGTCGGCCTGCTGACCTCCGATCAAATACCGCCTGGACGCATTGTCTACTTCGGCATCATTGCCGATGGGGTGCACACGCATTCGGCTGCCCTGCGCATCGCCTATCGGACGCATCCCGATGGCTTGATCTTGGTCACAGATGCGATCTCAGCCCTGGGCCTGGAGGATGGCATCCATCACATTGGCCAGCTGCCGCTGGAGGTGAAGCAGGGCCGAGCTTTCATAGCTGGCACCGATACGCTCTGTGGCAGCATAGCGCCCATGGACGAGTGTGTGCGCATCTTCCAAAAGGCAACAGGTGAGTCCGTCTCGAATAGCTTTCCCTTTCGTTCTATATTAACTGCCTCCCCCTTTGCTCAGGCTGCTCCAAGGTCTTTGCCATAGAGGCTGCCACATTGCATCCGGCGCGCTGTTTGGGCATTGAACGTGAGAAAGGAACCCTGGACTTTGGCTCGGATGCTGATTTCATAGTGCTGAACGATGATTTACAGGTGCTATCCACCTGGATAGCAGGCGAGCGGGTTTACAAATCCAGCAACTGAGCCCTGCCCACGCTACAAACATTCTCTTTGTTGTCTATTTTGCTTCTTTGCTTTTGTTTTTTATTTTTTCACTTGTTTTATTTGGATTAGATGACGCTTTAAATTGTTCTTTAATATTTAATTATTAAATCATTTGGTGTGGACAACTACGCTAAATCCATATACATGTACAAATAATAAGTATTACGAAAAAAAAAACACATTTTATATTTATATAAATACACGCACACACGCATATGCACATTCATACATATATACAAGTATACATATGTATTTATGTGTGAATATGTGTGCATGGTTTAGGCGCTTTGGCGTAAGCTACGAAATGTTTCTCCGCCATATTTTTTTGTTTCTTTTTGCTCTGCTAGACAATTACATTTGCCAAAAAATAAATCGAAATACAGTTAATCATTACAATATGCAGGCGAATCGTTTCCCTCCTCACTTTCATACATATACTCTTTCCTAACCAATAACAAAACGGAAAGCAAGTTGCAGCTAAGCTAACTAACGGTTAAACGCAAATAAGCAGGCAGCCAATCAGAATGAAGTACTCGCAAGTATTTGTTATAGCATTACATACATGTATGTCTGTCTGTGTGTGTGTGTGTGTGTCTGGCTGGGTCTTGCAAATGTATATATGTCAAATAATTATAGTTACAGTTACATGTTACAAGTGTGCCCGACAATTTAAAAAAAAACGCGTACATAATTGTTGGCATATTTTAAGTGAATTTTTTCTTTTTTGTGGGTTTTAAGTAATTATCATATACATATACAATATCAAGTGTGTTACACTGTGTGTGTGTGTGCTTGTATGTGTGTGAGAGAGAGGGAAATAGTGTTTAAGTCGCATGTGCGTCCGTTTCAGTTCCGTCTGTTCCACTGTTCGCTAAGTAGGGCCGCATGCCACAAATGCGCGTGACATGCAAAAATGCAGTTCAATTTGTTGTTGTTCTTGTTATTGCTGCTTATCAATTTGCAGCTATCGCTGTTTCATTTTCCACTTGGTTCGGTTCGTTGTGCGTTTACAAACGTACGCTGTATTGTTGATCTTTGTTTTTTGTTTTTTTTTTTTTTTCTTTTGTTTTTTTCTTGTAAAATTACTCCAAATTACATTTATACAATATTATAAAACTTTAGGTAGGTTCTTTCTCGGTTGTAACTGCTATTAGTGTGTGTACGCGAGTGTCTATGTGTGTGTATTTGTCGCAGTTGATTGCTTGCTGTGTATAACAGTTAGCAGTATAACAATTATATACTGCTGGCGCGCCACTTTATGGGGTTATGACACTTGTTAGTTTTGCTTTAAGTTGGTTTTTTTTTTTTATTTTTTATTTTAATTAATTTACTTTTTAGCGCAGCATAGGAAATGTCATGTGTGTGGAAGCGAGACAGGATGCGCATGAGTACCAGTTCGTTTGCAGGGTTGCCACCCAGTAGAAAACGCATTTGATTTTTTTTTTTCTTTGTTGCTATTCTTGTTTTTTTTTTTTTTCTTGTTCATATAGTAATAATAAAGGAGCTATCAAAAAGTTATAAAACACACACTCATCACACACACACACATGCAATTGCACGCACACAGTTAAGAAAAGCACTAGGTTTTTGCCAAGTTTGTTATATATGTATATATATATATATTATGTGTAGGTATGTGTGTGTATGTATGTATGTATATGTATGCATGTATGTATGTAGATCACAAAACCAACCGTGAACGTTAAACTAACAGGTGTCATAACCCCATTACGCACAACATTTGCTGTAGCTCGTCGCCTTATCGCTATTGCCGCGATCGATGACAACCCTTTCGGGATTCTCGGCCGATTCGCGGCCCGATGTTTTATCTAATATGGCCTCGGCAAGTTCACAAAATGCGCGCTCAATGTTTATATTTGCTTTGGCGGATGTTTCCATGAACCGTATGCTGTGCTCCCTTGCAATCTACAGAGAGGGCGAGAGAGAGAGTGGGTGTGTGATTATGAGCGTAATTCTAAGAACTTTTGTTTATGTATGTGTAATTTACCGCTTCGCCGCGCTCTTTGCTGACAACTCGCTTGTCGGACATATCGCACTTGTTGCCCAATATCATCTTCTCCACATCCTCATTTGCGTGCTGAAACCAGCGAAAGAGAGTGAGAGAGAAAGAGGATGAGTGAATGAGATCGTTTGGGAATTCGATTGGATTTGCTTACCTCGTCTATGTTCCGTAACCATTTGACTATATTCTCGAAACTTTTCTCATTCGTTATGTCATAGACGAGCATTATGCCCATCGCGCCACGGTAATAGGATGTGGTGATTGTGTGAAATCTCTCCTGTCCGGCCGTGTCCCATATTTGTAATTTAATTTTTTTGCCCCTGAGTTCGACTGTTTTGATTTTGAAATCGATTCCTGCAAGGCAAGCAACAATAACAATCAATCAACAAATAAATAGAAATGGCGAGAGATCGTTTCGCATAGTCCAATTACAGCAATGACGTCACAAGTTGAACTGGTTTATCGTATTGAATGAACATTTGATAATAAATTTATTTAGTTGGAAGTTTGAATAATGCGTAGCCTTGTATATACATATATGTGAATCATAACACACACACACACATGCACTCAAGTATTTATATAGATATATATATATATGTATGCGTCATTATTTTTAATCCAGTTTACCAACACTGTGTACATTAAATACCACAGCAGCGCCTGACTACAGCCAACAACAACAACAGCGCGCCTAATGCAGGCATCGAATGCGATTCATCAAGTCCAAAGGCTATCGCACGTACGTACATACCAGAATATATATGTATATATGTACCTGTATATATCAATATATGCATTCTTAACTTGAGCATTCTAGGGCCGGCTGACCACGCCCAATACGCACGGACAAGTGGCCGTGTCCTTGTTGTTTTTGGGCGCCGCCTACAAAATCTACACACACATACATAAACATTGGCAATTGACGATGCCGCTCGCCAGCACACACACATACACAGCAGTTCTGCAGGTACATGCACACACAAACACACACATGCATATGTCTTCACATATATGTATGTATGTGTGAAGTTATGTTAAGTGTGGACTGCGCCATTTACTTACCTATGGTCGATATAAATGTGGATGTGAATGCATCATCCGAGAAACGGAATAGTATGCAGGTCTTTCCAACGCCGGAATCGCCAATTAGCAGAAGTTTAAAAAGTAAATCGTACGTTTTCTTTGCCATTTCACGTTACGGCACTCGCACAACACACGCACACACACACAAACGTACGCACCTACACGCACACGCACAAACACGCTCGCTCACCACACACACTCACACACACACACAGTGGCACTTGCACTCACAGGTTCTTTATAGAACAAAGCACATATACAGAGTGTAGGATTCAACAACAATTATGTCGATTGCTATTCGCCTTTGGTATGGTTTCTATTTGATGCAATTTGCGCGTTACTTAGGTGTGCAATCAAAAAAAAATGCTACAGAACTTTTATACGTTTTAAGCACTTTATTTTTCTACGCAATGCAATTGTTGCTGTTCGCTTTCAGTGTGACCGCAGCGCGAAATGAAAAAATTGCCTACAATCGGTATGAAACGTAAATGCAACTCTGCTCAGCTCGCGACCTACATCAATATTTATCAGAAATTTATTTTTCACTATAAACTAAATTCGGTCTATATACATATAAAATACAATAAGCTACAGTTTCTATAAGAATATACAATATTTTCTGCTAGTTATTTTAATGCTGACCATGCTAGCAATAGTTTTCGTGCATCAAGCAACTCTGTGTGCTGCCGTTGCTCAACACTGCAACCGCGACATACATATAAACAAGGGTACACAATAAATAAATATAAAGTGTAAACGTTTCGTTTTGTGCACAAAATGGATCTGGACTGGCAAAACAGTCTGACAGAGATCAAAGATCGTGGCCAATATCTCTTACACTCAGAGAAATGGGCCGATTGTCGCTTTCTCGTTGGCACACCACCCAACCAACGCATTATATCGGGCCACAAGCTCCTTTTGGCCATGGCTTCGCCTGTTTTTGAGCGAATGTTCTATGGCAATTTACCGGACAAAACGGATCCCATCATAATACCCGATGTACAACCTGAGGCATTTGAGGCAATGCTCGAGTACATCTACACGGATCGCATAACAATCGGCTCATTCGACAAGGCCTGCGAGCTGTGCTACGTGGCCAAGAAATATATGCTTCCACATGTGGTGACGCGCTGCACCCACTTCCTATGGGCGGATCTGAGTCCAAAGAATGCCTGTCGTGCCTACGAGTTTGCCAAGCTGTTCGACGAGCCACGCCTTATGCAGAGCAGCATGGATCTGATCGCGGCCAATACCAGGGAGGTGCTCTCCGATCCAAGTTTCCTGGACATTGAGGTCTCCACTTTGATGGCCATATTGGATCAGCATCGCCTGAACATTGACTCTGAGCTGGATTTGTTCAATTGTCTGCTGAAATTCGCCAGCGAACGCGGCATTCTTAACGAGAACGGGAACGAGGAGGCGGCCAGTGGCAGTGGCAAATCCACAGCTTGTGCGGAACAAGCAGCCGCAGCTGCCAACGACATGATCGAGGAGATCAAAATGGAACCAGATGTGGCGGCCATGGTGCAGCATATGCACCAGGACGAGGACGTTGAAAGCTACAAGCAGCCCACTGGCAATGGCTCCGCCGGCAGCTCACCCGATCATCCAGCCGGCAGCAGCTGCTCCTCATCGACATCGAATGCAAATGCAAATGCGAATGCCAGCGCTGCCATTGTCAATGACGATGTGGTGATCATTGACAGCGATGCATCCGGCAATGCCAACGAGGAGGAGATGAACGCGGCGGAGGCAGCCGCCAATATGATCAACATGATGGACGCACAAAGGACAATCATGGACGGTGCAATGCTGCGGCAGGCCGTCAAGAAGATACGCTTCCTCACCATGACGCCGCAACAGTTTGCCGAGGGACCGGCACGCTCCAAGCTGCTCAAGCAGCACGAGGCCCTCGCCATACTCATCAAAATCTCCAGTCCCACACTGAACGATTGCAATATGCCGGAGGGATTCTGCGTGTCGCGGAGCACGCGCAACTTTTACGAGTCGGCGCACAGGCAGCGGGAGCTCAGCTCCTCCTATCGGAGTGCCAATAATCCGGCGAATGCAGCCAACGGCTTCCCGGGCCCCGCCACGCGCACCAACCAGCCGCTCTTCACGCGTCAACGCATCAGCGTACCGCTCAACCTGGGCGCCAATGCGGGCGCAGCGGCGGCCGCAACCGTCGATCATATACCCGCATATGGCTTTAGCTTTGAGGACGAGCCGCTGCCCATGCCCAATGCCGCCGCCTTTGGCGATGCCTACGACGGTCCGCCGCCGCCAGTCGCTGCACCCGGAGCAGCAGCAGCAGCCGCAGCAGTAGCAGCGCCAGCGGCTCCTCCGCCCGGCAGCGACAATGATGTCATTGTGGCCAGCAATTCGCATCACGATATGACACGCTCCTACTGCATGCGCTCCATAGCCAGGCAGTTCGATTATCGCAATACCAGCGTCACCGACTGTGGCGTCACCTTTCAGGTATGTGGAGAGATCGGATAGAAATGAATCGAATGAAGCGAATCTCTAATTTGACTTGCTTGCTCTCGTGCCAGGTGGACACAAACATTTGGATCCTGGGTGTGCAGGTGCCCACGCAGGTGCTTTGCGGCGAGCTTATGAATTCGGCTGGCTTTGCCGAACGCTACACGGAGGTGCTCTACGCCCACATACAGGATATGCATGGATCGCGCATCACGTATACGCACTGTACGGCCCGGGTGCGATACGATTCGCACTTGGACATCACATTCGATCGGCCCGTCTACATCTATCGCAATCAGATCTACAAGATCTATGTGGTCTTCAACAAAATGGGCTGGTATCCGATGTATTCGTGTGTGCCGGACACGGTACGGCAGCGTGTCAAATTCATGTTCAATGTGGGCAATCCGACGGAATCGGTGCGTGATGGTCTCATCTATGCAATTATATTCTCGACGCCGCAGGATCATGCGCGGCATCTGATCGATTGATCGACTAAAAATGGACGAATAGCAACAACAACAACAACAACAAATGCGATCAACGAATTTGAGATGTGATAGATTTTTGTTTCCATCCCAATTTGCTTGCTTTGTGTCCTTCCATTGTTCCACAATTAGTTTTTTCGGTAGCACAGTGAAATCTGGCATTGACGAACGACTTTACAGCGTTTTTCTCTTCCCTATTCTTTTTTCTAGTTTCTTAAGTCAACTTTTGCTTTATTAATAAATACTATATTTAAAACAAAAAAAAACAAAATTGTTGGGAATTCTTTATTAACTAAGTTTGAATTCAAGAGAAAATGTTGTTGTTTTGTATGTAATAGGTAGGACGAGTTGTGGCGGTACATGAATATATATATATATGTATATTTTCTTATAGTCGAAGGGGTCTAAATTTATTTCATATCCTGTACTTCAAATAGACAGTAGATAGGAAGGTTGTAAATAGAAAACAAATAGATAGATAGAAAAAAGGAGTACATAGATTGATAGATAGATAAATAACTAGAAGATAGACAGGTAGTAGATAGAACGATGTAGATAGATGGATACATAGGTAAATACATATGCATAGATACATATGTAGTATCTACTACATACGATAGATAGATAGATAGGTAGTAGATAGGAAAGAAGTAGATAGATAGAAGATAAAAAGGAATATAGATAATAGATATATAAATAATAGATTTCAGATAGACTTCATAAATCATTCGGTTAGTTAATAAGTAATTATTGTTAGGTAATTTAAAACCTAGGAATTCCCCGGGCCCTTCAAAGACCTGCTTCTTTTAGGCACACACACAAGCAACAGACACACACACACACACACTCTGCTAACTGCTCAGTTGAAGCAATTCACTTATCTGAAACCATAGAGCAATTACTTCTATACAAAGATTAATAGATATATAAAATAAACTCTTAAATGATTCCAAGAATAGTATTAGGAATCAGGCAAAGGACTACTATAGAGTTGGTTTTGATGTTGAATCTAATGATAATAATATAATATACTATATAGTTGCTATAAATGGATGGAATGTATTGGAACTTTTCATTAATACATTAAAAGATTCATATCTAAATAACATATGTACATATACTTTACATATGTATATATATCTTCATATATACATATGTACATACTTTATAAACATATATTATACGCCACATATATTATCCGATAATTTTACTTCAAATAAAACCAAATTTTGTTTCAAAAATATTACAATAAATAAATTTAAACTTTATTGCATATAGAGCTCAATTGGAAAGTAACAAAAAAGATATATAAAAAAATATACAAAAATTATATGAATTGGAAGAAAAAAAAACAAGTTAAGTTAAATGATCGATAATTATTGCAATATTTGATGCTAGGAAATTAGAGCAACAGAGCAGGTGCACAAGAGATAGAGAAAGAGAGAGAGAGACGGATAGATATACATATAGCTTTAGATAGTGTCATAGAGAGAGAGAGAGAGAGAGAGAGAGAGAGAAAGAGCGAGTCAGCGAAGCTTTACATATGTACAGTTGAGTGTGAGCTGCTTTGTTGTTGAACAGTTTCTTCTTCTTCTTCTTCTTCGTCTAGCTGCAGTTACTACGGTCACACTATTTGCCATAGTTGGTACAGCTGCCGCTGGCATATTCGGGATCCTCGCAGGTGAGCGTGTGCTCGTCGAAGACCTTGTCCTCGCCGCAGCTAATCAGACGTGGATAGCCCTCCACGCAGGTGATCAAGCGATGGCAATCGCCCTGCACGGGGAACCGGGGGAAGGGCCAGAAGCGAGCGGCCACCGAATTGGGATCAACCTTTGTGGGACACTTGAAGCCAACAACAGCTGAAAGAGAAATCAAGAGATATTAGGATAGATCTGGGCGTTAGCCTAATGACTAATCGATTAGTCGATTAATCGATATTTATTGATCAATGCAGTTAAAGTAGCTAAGAAATGATGCTGAGCTGATTTAATAACTCGATTCACAAGGTTCAGTACTGTAACAGACTAGAACTAGTGGAGCTTGTAGTTCATGAACAATTGAAGAAAATCGCTCATGATCGAGAATTAATGAATAGCTGAATAAGATCAAGCTGATTAAGGAAAGCTGTGTAAGTGAATAGATTAAAGTACTGATCAGAGGTGATCCTTATCGCTACACTGATCACTGAAAGAGTTGAACTAGTTCATTTGAATGAGTCGTTCAATTAAAGCTGCTGCTAAACCATATAAGATCTGTTATCTAAGACTCTCACCCTCGGGATTGCAGTGATCGAGCAGCTGATCGGGCCAGTTGCAGCCATGGATGCGTTCATCATACGCCAGACCCGCATCGCAGTCCTGTTCGTGGGGCTCGCCGTGGGCGCATTTGATGTAGGTGGTGGAGCATTCCTTCGAGACGGCATACAGACCAAACTGATACTCACAGCCAGGTGTCGAAATGGGCGTGGCTAAGGCAGAGAATCAGAAAGAGAGAAAGGAAGAGAGAGAGAGAGAGAGAGAGAGCAATTAATATCTTCAATTTGGAATCGTTTTTCATACATACATATATGTATATCGATTTCATTACTTACGATCCCACTGACGACCTTTGCAGTCAACGGCCCAGTTGTAGTTGCAGTGATTGTGCACAGCGCCCTTGCCATCGAAGAGCAGACCGTTCTCGCAGGTCTCCAGGGTCAAGGTGCCGTTGGTGCAGAGGAAGAACTGATCACAGTTCTCGGTGTGGGCGTAAGCCTGGACGCCATGCTTCTCGGGGCATTCGGGTGTGCCAACAGCCAAAGCATTTGCTGTAATACAAGAAACATATCGTTATCGATATCGATATTAGTATCGATTGTAGGTGAAATCGATTTTCATGTGAGGATTGAGTTTTTATTATCATTGTATGCATATAATTATATGCAAATAAATCATGGGGAATACTTAGTTATCGTTATCGATTAGTTGTCGATTTAGTTATTATCAATTATGTACACATATATACATATACACATATATAAATTGGCGTAACTTAGCTCTATCACTGGTCAGTGGCTCTACAGAATAGGTTATCATTATCGTTATCGACATAGTGATCGCTAAATTATTGCTATCGAACTCGACCGACAAATCACACATCGTTATCGTTATGTCATCTTTAGCTAATTGCATTAATATACGGCCATGATAACTTTGATTGTGTAGAGATTGTGTTATCGATAGTGTTATCGATATTGCTAAAAATAATCGATTTCTTATTAAAATTACTTTCGTCATTTAAATAGTTTATATTTCGTCTATTACATTTGCTATTATGATTCACTACATAGCTGCAGCTAAATAAAAGTTATCGTTATCGATAGTAAGATTGCTCAAGTAATTGATTGAAATGACAACATATAGATCTGTAGCACTCTCTTGCCATTTGCAAATAAAGTACTTTGCTATTGTTTACTGTGTGTTATCGTTATCGTTATCGATCAAACTGTCTCGCGTGTCGAGGAAGTATCGCCCTCATCACCATTCCCCATTGATGCCAATGGCCATTATTAAACTTGAAAGCGCACACTTCCTTCCTACCCAGCGACTGTCAACTGGTTTCGCTAAGTGTGTTGCTGTCAGTGTTGCAAGTGCAAGTGTTGTAAGTGCTTGTCAGTGTGTGAGTGCGAATGTGAGTGTGAATGTGACAGGCTTTCGGCTGATGGCTTACGGCTTTCGAGCATCTTCGCGTCTAGCGCCGGCGCTGGATGATGTAACCGAGGCCCAGAGATTTGCGACTTGCCTCGGGCAACGGGTTAAAGCACCGCAAACTGTTTTCATTTCCATTTTCATTTTAACTGCTCGCTGTTGATTTCGTGCGGCATTTGCAACTAACTGTTTATGCATTTGCTTAACACTGCTAAAGATTTCCGGCAATTAATTTACCAACACTTATCGATAATTTTCTGTCCGAAAATAAACGTTTAACGTTTCGCAAAAAAAAAAAGTAGCGAAATCTGTTTATTCGTTTGTTAATTTTTGTTCAATTTCTTCACTTCAACCTTTTGGAGTCGCACAGAAACTCGTTGGGCCGACAACATTTCGAGACGTTTTTTTTTTCGGCTTTGTATTTATTTTTTAGATCGAAATTTTATAATATTCAATGTGATTAGGTCTAATGGTGAACTGGTTTGACGGGCCGAGTTCTGCTTTGACTTTGTTGCTTTTAAATGTTTGGCATTTGTTTTAATTAGGGTTCGAATACGTAGACGAAACACACAAATACACTGCACGAAAAGTGCGTGTACTAAACCAAGCTATAAATAAGCTAAATAAAAAGGGGTTTCAATAGAGTTAAAGTTTGCCTCAAAAATTGCATCTAGCGTTAATTATTGTAAAAATATTTATATTCTTTTCATTGTGATTCATTTTTATTATACAATTTATTTTTTAA